TTACAGCTATTTAGCCCTAAGATTATATTCATAGTATAATGGGCCCCAAAAACCTATTCTAATCATGAAGGCCCCTATACAATGGCCCTTATACAACCCTTTAAGGAACCCTTTAAAGGAGCCCCCAAAACCCTATTCTAATCATACCCTAAACCCTAAACCCTGAACCCTAAACCCTAAACCCTAAACCCTAAACCCTACCCCCGAAACCCTATTCTAATCATCAAGGCCTCTGTAGTACATCTCTACAGTCGAAGTGCTCGCGAGGAGCGAGGAGACGGTGGGTCGAGGGTTTGAGGGCTTAGGAGTTTAGGGTTTAGGGTTTAGGGTTTAGGAGTTAGGGTTTAGGGTTTAGGGTTTAGGGTTTAGGGTTTAGGGTTTACAGTTTAGGGCTTTGGCATATTTGGGTACCTGGGGCTTTCAGAATTTGTTGTGGGTTTCCTTGAAAGGTATCCCTTTACATGCCCGGTAATAAAGTTTCGTCGCATCCGCTAGAGACACTAAACGGAGTACGCGGAGTACAGGAGGCGAGGAATACCCTAGCCTGGCTAGCGGAGGAATTATCACACCCGAATGACATTATAATATAATACTATAATAGTTCCGGGTGGAGGACTTCTGGAGGAGTCTAGCGGGAAAAGGGGTTTGGACAGATTTTTTGTAAGTGCACAACATAGAGTGCGACGAACTTTCGGACCGGCGCAGTAGGGGCTTCCTTTTTGGGATCCCTTAAAGGAACCCCTACGTAACCCTCAATAAGGATCCTTTAGAAGGACCTATAAGGGTCCCTTCTACTGTTACTACGAGGGTACTAGAGGGTTTAGGGTCACCAGCGCAGGGGAAATACGGGTACGAATACTGCCTTCATCGCACTACCCCACCCCTGTTTCGGATACTTGTGCCGTGCATGTGCATACGTTGGTGTTTCAACTATGTCTACCAGCTTTTACTGTGATTGGCATGAGAGGTATCATCACACTACCACGATTTCTGAAGGTGGCCGTTCTGGTACGATTACGTGCAACTTGAGAATGAACGGCTTCAAGACCCGCCTCGCCCTTCGCCTCATTCTTCAAAACGATTTTGGAAGCAGTCAGCTCCGCCATTCTGTTGAGCAGTCGCCATCTGGTTCTGCGACTCCGTCAAACGGCTGTTCGACTGCGGCAGCTCTTCACGCGCCGATCCAGCGATTGCCCCTGTTGACAGCTGTCGTACCACGTCGCCGCAAGTTATCCGCCCGTCTCCGCTTCTCAGCCAGCTCTTTTGCAGGTGCCATTCGCGCCACTGTGTATCTGTGGGCATTCGACCACACGACAACACATACCTGACTGGCATCGCTAGCAACCCGGGTCTGTTGAACCGTCTCTCTCTCGTTTACACTTACCGAGCTCTATTGCTCTTGCTATGCCGACTATGACTATGATGATCATGACTGCCAATATCGTGGGTACTGTCAGCAAAACGACTGGAACGAGAAGACTAACGCTGCGAATGATAGCTTTCTGGGTACTGATCACATTACCAAGGGGGTTGACGATACTTTGGCTCGTCTGCTTCTGTGTGCTACAGCTGCTAGCGGACGAAGGTCTGGCCTTCGTCCGCGGCACGGGCAGAAGGAGATCATACGAGCTTGGCATTTAGGATTCAGACAGGCCTGCTCACACAATCCCAAACTCACTGACAGTTTGGGACCGGATGCTTGGCGGCATGGCTTCAAGCACCGTAAAATCACCCCAAGCCCTAAACCCAAGCGCCACCGCAGTCCTTCTGAAATCTAAAGCAGCCAGCTGGTAAGGTGCTATAGGGTCCAGCATTGCACAGAGAAGTACAGTGGGAGGTTTGAGGGTTTGCAATTTCAAGATTTGGGCCTGGGGAAAGGCAAAGTGCAAGCAGCCAAACAGCTTCTTCTTGGCGACAGGCCAGGGCCCCGGCATATGGGACAAGAGCAGCGTCTGGCTCATCGTAGGTCGGTTGTGAAGTCGGTTACACTGGTCACCTGGCTGCAGCCGAATCCCGGTCCCCTAAATCCTAAATCCGAAACCCTAAACCCTAAACCCTGACCCTTAACCATTGAATTAAGGTCTACGGTTCAGGGTCACAAAGCTCGCAGGTTTGGTTGTTGGCACCGCCGGGTCCTTTTAAGGGAATGGCCGCAACAAGTAGTCGACCAGATCGTTCCGACGCTGCGCGGACGTGGGGAGGTGGGTTTAGGGTTTCGGGCTTAGGATTTGGGATGGTTTGGGGTTTAGGGTTTAGGGTAAGGGTTGGGATGGTTTGGAGTTTAGTGTTCCCTTAAACCTTGAACTACTGGCTGTCAACCCTAGAAGCCGGCATCCGTAAATCCCTAGCCGAAGCCCAAGGAACTAGACTCGACCCGACATCCCCACACTTTCACCTCTGAACCGGCAGCGACAAACCCGAGCGTCCTGGACCTCAGACCACTGCTAAAATACATTATCTGTCCTAAAAGCCTCCAAAAACACCTAATTCATGCAACAGTTAACAACATTATACACTTCTCAGACTTATCGCGGGAAGGATAAGAACGCCAATGCATTACAGCAGGGCCAGTAGTTCCAAAACACAAACCTTTCAACTAATGTAGGGGCCTTAATAATGAGAATAAAGTTTTTTTTTTGGGGGGGGTCCTGATTATAATTATAGTATAGTATACCCCCCAACTCTATTCTAATTATTAAGGCCCCTACATCCTCTGAGCTTGAACTCTAGGGCGCCTAGATCGGCAATTCGACGTTTTTTGGGGCTGCTTGGTATTGGGGTTGAAGTTCATGCATTGACCAAATGGTCCAGGGTTTAGGGTTTAGGGTTTAGGGTTTAGGGATGCAGACGGACTTCTGTGCAAGTGCTGTCAGCAGTCAGCTTGAGTCCAAACTGAAGCACCCAACTCCCGAAAACACGAATGACTTAACAAAACATCCCTCGTCCCTCAAGTCCTAAAATTGCGCCCTTTCAATGAAAACCTGCCGTAAACCCGCCTGATTGAATCCTCATTCTGTCAAAAAGCCCAGCTCAAGATGCCAAGTGCAAAAGCTGAGATCCCACCATTTCGGCAGGCCCCGATCTTGAAGTAGAAAGGACAGTTGACACCTTGGGGCTGGCTTTGTCAGAAGCTGGGGCCGTAGGGCTCGGTTTAGGGTCGATGGTCTAGGGCGTCACTGTGGGTCTATAAGGGTTCTATTTTGGGTTCCTCTAAAGGGATCTTTAAGGGCTCTATAAGGGGATCTTTAGGGGGGTGTGAGGCTCTAGGAGTGCACGGCATCCTTCAATCCGAATCAAAAAGTCTATGGTACTGGTAGAGAGGGGTTCATAAAGGTCTAGGGGCAGTTTTGTATGTTTAAACAGCCTCCCAAGGACTCCGCCAACGATGTTAAGTTCTGGGAATTAGGATGCAGGGTTTCTGGCTTTGGGGCTTCGGGTTTACGGTGAATTTGGGGTGTACATAGGATCAGAGTGCTGCGTTAAAGCTTACAGTCAGCGAAATCTTCTGCAGGGACCCCTGAAAGAAGGAGTCCACAAAAACTAGGCGCCATGACAAATATAGCGGCCTTAATAAATACAACAGGGTTTTGAGGCCCATTCTACTATAATTATTAAAAGGAAGCATCAAAATAGTATAGGTAATTATTTGGGCCCCCTATAGTACCTTATGCACGTGTCCCGAAAAAAAGGAGTCTGCCAGTGCTAGGGTGTTGTGTTTTCTGAAACTCCCAGAAACAACAGGGCCCAGGACTTTGCCATATCCGGAGGCTACATATGATGTCGACCTCGCTGCTGCGCTGAGAACCATCAGCACGCATCAAACTTAACATCACCAACAACACTGTGCCACACATCATCGCCACTGTCGTCACCCATCTCCTCTACCAGCATGACAGGCACAACCATCGCAATGATCGCCATCACCTTCATGCTCATCCTCATCATCATCAACATCATCATCGTCAACATCATCGTCATCATCATCGTCGCGGTCGTCGCCGCCATCATCATCATCATCGTCGTCATCATCAGTCATCGTCGTCGTTACCCATCGCCATCAACATCCCCATGGTCATCATCACCGTTGTCACCATCATTACGACCACCGCCTTGGGGCCGTGGCTCTGTCCCTCAGCCCCAAACCCCGAAGCCCAAAACCCAAAACTCTAAACCCTAAACCCCTAAACCCTAAACCCCAAACCGATTCCGAATCGTCTGCTTTCTTCTTCGAGGTGCGATCCTCCTCTGTCCCGAAGATCCTGACGATCGGAATTCTTTGCAGATGGCTTTCCGGGCCACTGTCTCTTCGTTACGTCGGGTTTCTGACTCTAGAAAGCTTCAAAAGGGCTTTTGTGATGGATTCTTTGGGGTTTGAGAGATTCAGTTTGGATGATGGGGGACTTGGGCACGAGGGTGCTTTCGGCGTCATTGCATACCGATGCCATGCTAAAAGTCAACCGATTCGCCAAACGAAGCTTGCATCGGAACAGGGTTTTGCTGACAACCCTAAATCCTAAACCCTAAACCCTAAAGGTTCAAAAAGGCCTTTGCAGGGCTTTCTCGGCGTTTGTCTTTGGTTCTATCCGGGCAGACTTCAGCATTTACAGGGGGCTTCAGGTTCAGGGTTTTGGAGCTGACGCTTTAAGATAGAATATGGGGGGCCGTAATTAGAATAATTTGGATTTTGGGGCCCTTCTCCTATATTTATAATAAGGGTTTAGGCACGGTTTAGGGTTTAGGGTTTAGGGTTTAGGGTTTCCCCCAAAATAGTATCGGTAATTCTTTAGGCTCCTACATGTTTCAGCAATGTGAACGCTCATGGCTTCTCACACGCTGCAAACACTCCCTCTTCAAAAGCTGGCTGAACGAGCGACAACGGCCACAATTTCGCTGAGACCCTACATTCCGCCGACGAACCTTCGATTCCTGTTGTCAACACAGGAGAAAGCTACCACCCTAAGCCATGAGTCCCATAAAGACCTAAAGCGGTTTGGGGTTTCGAGTTTAGGGCTTAGGGTTTAAGTTTAAACACCCAAAGCCCCCAAAACCCACACGAATTTACCTTCAGCCCAACCAGAAACCCGAAGCTGCAACCTCTGTAATCCGCAGCCCCAAACCCCCGCAAGTCTGTAAACTTCAACCGCCTAAAGTCCCCAAACCCGAAAGCCTGGAGCCCTGAACCCCTGGATCCTGAACCTTATAAAGCCTAAATCCTAAACCCTGAACCCCTAGATCCTGAACCCTCAAGCCTGAACCCTAAGCCTATAATGAATAACCCTTGCAGGAGCCCGTGGAGGAACGCTTTGTGGAACCCTAAAGGAATCCTTGGAGGAATCCTGGAGGATCCCTGACAGTAACCGGGAAGCTCCCTCGCAGGAGCCCCTTCACAGGGTGCCTTAAAGCAACCCCTGCAAGAACCGGGTTTAGGGTTTAGGGTTTAGGATCCCTCCAGAGATCTTTTAAGGGTCCCTTCACTGGCTTCACTAAATGCTCCTTTAAGGTTCCTTCAACTTGGCGGCCCAGGGGACTTAGTAAGTGGGTTATAAGTAGAGTTATAAGTACCCTAAATGGAGTTACCCCAATTATAACCCTACTTATAACCGACTTACGAAGTCCCCTGGGCCTTCAAGAAGGGACTATACAACCCCAAACCGTAAAGCCCTAAACCCCTAAACCCCTAAACCCCTAAACCCCTAAACCCGTAAACCCCTAAACCCCAAACCCCAAACCCTAAACCCTAAACCCTCAACCCCCAAACCCTAAACCGCAGGCCTCGCCAGTTGCTCCGCCATGACTGCGGCGGACCCTCCCCCAGGTTCGGGCCCACTCTGAGACTTTGTAGCAGGCTGGTGTCAGCTTTCTGGGGTAGGGGCTTTGGGTTTAGGGTTTAGGGTTGAGGGTTTAGGGTTTAGGGTTTAGGGTTTAGGGTTTAGGGTTTAGGGTTTAGGGTTTAGGGTTTAGGGTTGAGGGTTGAGGGTATCGGTTGAGGGAGGCTGGGGGGTGGTGATTTGAAGGTTGAGGATTTAGGGTTGAGGGCCTAGGAGTTTAGGGCTTAGGGGGGCTGGGGCTTTCAAGTTTTCAGGCTTGCGGCTCTTTACGGACTGCATAGGTTTAAAATGTCCTTGTATACAAGGCCTTGCAGGGGTCGATGAGAGGATCAAAGTTCGAAACCATGGGCCGCAAGTATGGGCCCTTAAGCCTGGGATCCTTATATACCTACTTTGTACCCCCCCTAGAATCCCCTAAGGGTCCATATCAGGGGCCCATACTCCTAACCTTAGAGAGGAGCTTTGGCCACAAGCCTGTGGTTTAGGGTTTAGGGTTTAGGGTTCCTTAGAGAGGACAGGCGTTTCGGCTTTTTCGGGCTTATAGGTCGGAGCTTTGGGGGGGGTCAAATTTAGGGTTTTAGGGTTGAGGGTTCAGGGTCTCGGGTTTAGGGTTTAAGGTGTCAAAGGTTCACCACCATGGGCAATGAATGTAGAGGCCTGAATAATTAGAATAGGGTTTCGGGGCCCATGTTGCTAGAACGGAACCCCTGAAATCATGTAGGGAATTATGGAGCCCCTATACTATCGCTACTCGGTCAGATTCGGGCTTTTGGCGGAGGTTCAGAAGCTTAACCCTAAACCCTACACCCTAAACCCCTAAACCCTAAACCCCAAACCCCTAAACCCCTAAACCCTTAAACCCTAAACCCTAAACCCTAAACCCTAAACGAAACTCGTCTGTAAGTCTATAACCGGTTTCGGATGGATGCAGCTGGTCCCAGTTTGGCCCAGCCTCCCGAAACAGTCGCAGCACTCCTTCATCTGAGGATGCCCGATAGATGTTGCTTGATGGTCTAGGGTTTAGGGTTTAGGGTTTAGGGTGCTTGCCAGGGGGCTTGGGTATATACCACAACCATCTCTTGATGCTCAAAACCCGAAATTTTATGCAGTTTATGGCCTCTCTGCCAGATGGC